TCATTAGGCTAAGAAAAATAATTATTTGATCATAGCATTTAACACAGAAAAAAATTGACAAAATCTAACAGCCATTCATAATTTAAAAAATCTCAGCAAACTAGCAATAAAAAGGGACAATCCTAACCTGATAAAAAAAATCTAAAAAATATATATATATCTGCCATCACACAATAATGAGGGACTTCACACCACCACTAAATTTGGGAACACGGCAATGATGTCTGCTATTATCATTGCTGCTCAACATAATAGTGAAATTCTTAGCTAGTACAATAAGAGAAGAAAAAGAAATAAAAGGAATATATTTATTGGAAAGAAAAAAATAAACATTTCTTTATTTGAATATGACATGAATGCCGATGTCTAAAGTTCATATCATCTACAAAAAAAAACTTGAAATAAGCAAATATAGCAAGATTTCAGAATATAAGTTCAATTTAAACATCAGTTGCTTTCCTTACATCAGCAATAACAATGAGAATTTCAAATTTTGAAAATACCATTTATAATACACACCAAAAAATAAATATTTAGGTATAAATCTGACAAATTATGTAAAGATCTGTATGCAGAAACTGTAAAAAAATATGAAAAAATAAAAATTCTAAATTAAAGGAGAGAGAGTCTGTTTTAATGGAATGGAAGAAAATATTGTTAAAATGTTAATTCTTCCAATTGGATCTATAGATTCTATGCAATTCCTGTCAAAACCCCAGCAAGCTAGCTACTTTGTAGATAGAAACAAATTGGCTGTAAAGTTCACATGGAAAGGCAAAAACCTAGAATAGCCAACAAAACATTGAAGAATGAAGTTGGACTCCCAGATTTCAAGACTTACATAAAGCAATAATAATCAAAACAGTTTGATTTTGCAAAAGAATAGACACAGAGATCCATGGAAATGAATAGAAAATCCATATATACACCAACACAAAGATAATCATCTAATTTACAACAAAGGTGCAAAGACAATTCAACAGAATCGATAGTCTTTTTAACAAAGTCTGCTGGAACAATTGGACATACATATGCAAAAAAATGTTCTTAACACACAATGTAGCTTTCATAAAAATTAACTCAAAATGGATTACAGACCTAAAATTAGAATACAGAAGTATTAAATTTCTTGAAGCAAATGTAGGAGAAAGTCTAAGGGATCATGGGTCTGGTAATGACATTGAGATACAGCCACAAAAGCATGACCCATTAGAGAAAAAATTAATTAATTAGGCTTTATTAAACTTAAAAGTATCTGCTCTGTAAATGATGCTTTAAGAGAATTAAAAGACAAGCTACAGACTGGGAAAAAACATTTGCAAAGCATATACCTCATAAAGGACTTGTGTTCAAAATACCCAAGAATCTCTTAAGACAAAAGAATAGGAAAAGAAATAAAAACAATAAAAAGAATGTGGACAAAAGAACTGAATAGACACCTTAACAAAGAAGATATATAAATGTCATGGCATATAAAGATTTAAAGAGATGCTAAACATAATTTGTCATTAAGAAACATAATTAAAAAGAATAGTGAGTTACCACTCCATATATATTAGAATGACTAAAATCTAAACTGACAACACCAATATTGGTGAGAATGAATAGCAATGGAGCTTTTTTATTCATTACTGGTGGAAATGCAAAAAACGCAGACATTTTGGAAGACATTCCAGCAGTTTCTTTCAAAAGAAAACAGTCCTACCATACAGTCCAACAATTGGACTCCTAAGTATTTACCCAAGCAATTTGAAAACTTATGTTCATACAAAAACTTGTACACATTTATTTATAGCAGTTTTATTCATAGTTGCAAAAACTTGAATCAACCAAAATGTCCCTCAGTACGTGACTAGATAAACAAACTCTGGTACATCCACACAATGGAATGATATTCAGCAATAAAAAGAAACGAGCTATTATAGTATACAAAGACATGGATGTCTCTTAAATTCATATTGCTAAGTGAAAACAACGATGTGAAAAAGCTATACAATGTGTGTTTCCATTTATCCGATGGTCTGGAAAAGGCATAAATATAAAGAGAGTACACACATCAGTGTCTCCAGAAGTCAAGAAGCTGTCGAGTATGTGAAGTACAGGGGATTTTCTTTTTTTGTTTGAGGAAGATTAGCCCTGAGCTAACATCTGCCACCAATCTTCTTCTTTTTGCTGAGGAAGACTGGCCCTGAGCTAGCATCCGTGCCCATCTTCCTCTACTTTATATGTGAAATGCCTGCCACTGCATGGCTTCACAAGCGATGCATAGATCCACACCCAGGATCTGAACTGGTGAACCCTGGGCCACAGAATTGGAATGGGTGAACTTAATCCCTGTGCCACCAGGCCAGCCCCCATGGGATTTTTTTTAAATCAGTGAAACTATTTTGTAGGGGAGGGTAATGGTGGATATTCAACACCATGCATTTGTCAGAATCTGTAGACCTTTACATTATAAAGAGTAAATCTTAGTGTATGAAAATGAAAAGCATATATCTTCTTTAGGAGGTTAGAGGATCTAAGGATTGAATGAAAAATATGACAAAATAATCTGTTTAACAAATGGATGAAACAACCTCACTGAAAGTGGTGGGTGAAAAAGGTGAACAAGGACCTAAGTCACTTTGGAAACGAGTTGAGACTGTAAGACTAAATGTAAAACAACTCTGATAAAGTTTCATGAGAGTATGGATTATCAATTCTGCTGTATTATACATATGTGCTGGAACTGAACAACTAAGTAAATGAATAGTAAATGTTGGGAAGTAGGTTTTTCAGTATTGGAGTAAAGAGATTACATATAAGTGAGAGAGAAGGATATATACAATGATCCATGTGGTAATGGATTAGAGTCAGAGACATCAGAATGAACTCATTTTTAGTTTAATAATGGTATGGATGGTTACATATAAAAGCATTTATATATATATATAAAGAAATACCAGTTGTTACACACATATATTCCTTGTTCTGTCATCTGAAAGGACCTGAAAAACATCAACACCTCAGTAGCAAGGAGCACACTTAACATCCAGATGTTTGTCTGTAAGATAATTTTCCAACGAAAGGAAGCAAGGCTTTTTGGAGGAATGGCTAATTCTAGAACTGGGGCAGGAAATATAGAAATGAGACCAGAGTTTCTAGTGACAGAAAGGAAGAAAGTGCTCAGGGCATATAAACAAACAAAAACGAAGTGGCAAAGAGGACATGGAAATGGCACTGAAATAGCTTTATAAATAAAGTAGTACTGGATTATGAACCAGAATATCAAATAAATATCTATGCATCCCTACTCAAATAAATAAATGATTGAACAAATAAATGGAGACGAAGGGCTTGCCTGCTGGTGTAGTGGTTAAGTGGGGGACTCCACTTCGGAGACCCAGGGTTAGCAGGTTCAAATCCAGGGCACGGACCTACATACTGCTCATCAAGCCATGCCGAGGCAGAGTTCCACATACAAAATAGAGAAAGATTGGAACAGATGTTGGCTCAGGGGCACTCTTCCTTACACAAATAAGTAAATAAATGAATGGAGGAATGCATGGAGACTAGACAAATCTCCCATGCAGAAGAACTCCAAATGTTTGATGTCGCTGCTTTGAGCTCAAGCGGTGGAGCATAGCTCTGCACTCCTTAGCTGTGGGCTGTGCAAATTGACCTTCTTCCAAAGGCTTACAGTATGGGATTAAGGAAAAATGAATAATTTACAGTGAAGAAACCTGACAAATGACCTCAGCCAAATGATGAAGGTTAACATCAACAGTAATAAGTCATGTTGATAGTATGTTCCTTTGATATGATGTGATGAGAATGGCACTTTACCTCTGTGTTCTTCCTCCCCAAAAACTCATATAATCAGTCTCGTCATGAGGGAAAAAAAATCAGACAAATACCAATTGAAGGGTATTCTATAAAATACCTGAACAGTCATTCTCAAGACTATCAAGGTTATTAAAACCAAAGAAAGTCTGATAAACTATCATAGACATGAAAAACCTCTGGAGAATTGATGACTACATGTGATGTGCTAGCAAGTATGAGATCCTGGAACAGAAAAAGTACATTAGGTAAAAATAAAGAAAATAAAGAAAAATAAAATATGGACTTTAATAAAAAGTATACATATTGCTTCATTAATTGTGACAAATGCACTACACTAATCTAAAATGTTATTAGTACGGCAGGGTGTGGAGTACATGGGAACTTTCTGTACTGCCTTAGTAATTTAAAAAGTTTATTTTTAAAGGGTTATTTCAACAGTAAAATAGCAATGTAATGAGAGAGTTTATCAGGAAGAGGACAACAGTACCAGAAATGAAGATCATGAATATTCCAGTGGACATAGAACAATATTATAGGGTAAATAACTATATATGAAATATGTTACAAATGACTATTTATATATATACACACACACATAGAGAGAGAGCACAAGGACAGTTCAGAGCTCAAGTAACAACAGAAATATGAAACTCTGAAAGAGAAAGATATAGACTTGGATCTAATGAATTCGAAGCCAATGGATTGGCCAGGTATATATGTTCTGAAAGCAGCAAGTAAAACTCCCTCATCTTTTTTAAAAGAGAAAATGTACGTATATAGGTTTAAAGATTACTTGAATATTATTTTTACAAAGATGGAAAGTCACTATTATAACAAGAGATGTCCAAATGTGAATGATATAAAAAAGAAATGAGACTAGATGGGAGAACTCTGTGGGTTTATTATGTAGACTGTGTGAGAGGTATATGAAACATTAAAAGAGAAAAGATGGGGCCAGCCCAGTGGTGTAGTCATTAAGTTCAAGTGCTCCGCGTCTGCAGCCTCGGGTTTGTGGATTAAGATCCCCAGCACAGATCTATGCACCACTCATCAAGCGATGCTGAGGTGGCCTTCTACATACGAAATAAAGGAAGATTGGCACAGATGTTAGCTCAGTGACAATCTTCCTCAAGCAAAACTAGGAAGATTGGCAACAGATGTTAGCTCAGGGCCAGTCTTCCTCACCGAAAAAAAGAGAGAAAAGAAACAATGAGTGAATTAAGAGACGGAAATAAAATTTGAAGATGAGATATGAAAGTCTGCTTAACTTTACAGATATTGCAGAAAGGTGAAAGGAAGGATCATTGAGCTTTTTCAATTACGAAGTTGCTAGTTTGTTCAAAACAGCATAGTAGGAAGAGAAACCAGATTTTAGGTTGTTAATGATCGGTTATCAGTGAGTGAGGTGGTGGAATGAAGTATACAATACATCATGGATAAAGGGCTGGAGAGTGTATACCATAATCATGTTAAGGTCCTGGCTCCGCCTTTTGTTAAATGTGTCTAAATAGACAAGTTACTTTACATGTCCAAGCCTAGTTTATGTGGGTGTAAAACAAAAATAATAATAACATAGTAGCTCATCAAGTGATTGTGAGCATTAAATTTTTGTAGCATATTTTTGGAATAGTATATGTTCAATAATCGATAGCTCTTTTTATTAACGTTATCGCTTCTTAAAAAATGTTGACAGCAGAAGAGGAGAAACGAGAAGTACTGGTTGTCTGAGACAATTTTCAGTCACAATATATTGGAATTTTCAGTCATAGAAAATACCAAACTCAGTGAATGATGGCCTAGGACAAGCATAAGTAAATTCAATTTAGAAATCGGAAATTTAAGCCGTAATAAGGGCTAAGGTATAGCCTCACCCATGGGAAGCTGAAAAGAAGAGAAAATAGCCATAATTGGATGGAAAAGTTCAGGAAAGTTAAAGTCAAAATAGTGTACAGATATTAATGTAGATGTTTAAAAAGAGGTGCAAACTGGTTAGCTTCAAATACATTGATCCTTCGTAATATAGAGATCAATATTTTTAATCGTATAATAGAGTTTTTACTGTATGGTAGGATACTACTGTGTCTTGAATTCCTGGTTCTTGAGTTAGATATTGACATCAGAGTCAAGGATGTTCAGGTTCTTTCTTCTTTTAAGGAAGTACAATAATGTGTTGTAGTATGACCCAGAATTCCCAAGATTTTTTGTTAATTACACTTGTCATGGAGTGGACTATGTATGTATATGTATAAAACACATGGACACTGGCAAAACAGTGGAAAGAACCTCGGAATGGAAGCTGAGATTAGATGTACTTAAACTCTTCACAACTGAAAGCCTTCACCCCCCATCAGTTTATTATTTCTTGGTTTTACACAAGTTATTTGGAGACTCTTACCTTCGATTTTTTTAATCTTAAAGTGGGGCAATAAAAACAACATACAATTGAACTCCTAACAAAGTTTAAGACCTTTTGAGAAATTCAGTGAGTCTAACTGATTGCTCTGAAAATCCATTACACTAAGAAATATACGGGACTTGAATAAAGGAAATAAGTAGTGGTCCAAAACTTATTGCAAATTGGAATTGTCAACCATGTATTACATATATATATTTCTGTGTATATGTGTGTGTGTACACATTCCCACTAGATTCATCTGTTTTATAACAATGGGTATAAAAGAAAAAATTATAAGTTTTCTTCTCCAGACTTCAGGCCATTATGATTGATTGCATTTACATATGTATGTCCCTTTCATGCTAAGACAAAGTTACAGTAATTATATAACTTAATGATAAGGGAATATGTATTTACAAATAACACGTATATATTATTTCTTTAGAGAGAAATAGCATTCATTTCTATGTAATACATGTGTGCAAACATATTTATTTGCGTGTGTGTACCCCCATAACAATAAACAAAATGACATAGTGTCCATTGGCAGACCAGTATTTTGGGTAAATTGTTGGAAGGCTGATGGAATGGTGATGAATGAAACTGCATAAACGTGCAGACTAGAGAACCAGGGTTGGGCACAGTAGAGGACTTGTCTTCTCGACACAATCCTGGAATGTGTCAGGACTTGGACATACTAAAAATGGCAGAGAACTGGAATGAGACGTGAGTTGAAAGAGAATAAATTAAAATGGATGCCCATATATCTCTTTCCTTCTACCTTGTTTGAAACACAAAATTCAGAGAAAAAACATTATTAGAAAAATTCTCAAAAGAGCTACTATTAACACCACCAGGAAGTGAAGGAACAAATCATCTAAAAGCAAAGGCAGAATAACAGGAGAGAGGGGAATGGCAAAAAAAAAGCTTGAAATTAGAAAAAAAATCTCTAGAAAGTAAATTAATAGAACTGGAAGACAAAGGTGAAAAGGTAATCATGAAAACAGGATAAAATATAAGATAGAAAGTGATAGTTAAAAGACACTGGATAGGAACACATCAGAGAATAAATACAGGGAAATCTCCCAGAAATGAAGGATCCCAGGCTCCATAGTGAAACGGGCCCTTGAGCGCCTAGTCATGAGGATGACAAAAAATTCATCTTGATGCATTAATGTGAAATTTTATAATGTAAAAGATAAGAAAAAATATGAATAGCATCATGAAAGAAATCATATCACACAAAAGGAAGGAGTGACACATTCATCTTTCTATATCATCAGCTGGGGTAGATGCTAGAATATGATAGAAAAGACCTTCAGAATATTAAGGAAAAAATAATTCCAAATGAAGATTGTATACTTAGCTAAACTATAAATCAGGCGAGGAGGCAAAAGAAATTTTCAAACATGGAGAGATTTTAAAATTATCTGCCTTCAACTTCATTTTTCTTGGGAAGCGATGTTGTTTACTGACATTTGGTTAACTCCTTTCAGATATAGTCATAGTTTGCAGCCCACTTCAAATACAATGCCTGCATACTTACATCTGCTTTTCAAAATTCCCATTTTAATACAATAGTTGCTGAAACTTTTATGAAGATTTCTAAAAATGTCCTCCTCTTAAAGACAAAGAATAACACATCCCTTCTAATCTTTCCTTCCTTTGACTTTTTTTATCCTCTTTGGTTCAAGATCTGGGCTCTAGTTATTTTAATGCTTCTCTCTTTCTTGCTATGCACAGCTCTACCATTCCAACTTGTTTTTACAGTTATCTCTTAATAAATATTTTCCCACTCTCCTAATGTGGTATATGGTGAATCAATGTATAATCAATCAAACCCATAGTTCAAAGATTTTTGTTTCTTAAACTCTTTTAAATATCTCCATAATTAGCATAACTTTATGTAATCAATGTGTAAATGATTAAATGGACTTCATGTAATTGTAACTAGAACTTAAGAGTCAAGAAATTTGAGAGGAAACTTAGAAATAAGAGCAAGAAATTAATTTTACCAAAGAGACTAGAACACTGGGAGGCTGTGTCCAGTCAGTGATAGAATTTGGCCAAAGCAATTTTACAGTATTTTTGGCATATCACTCTTTCACTCTTATGTTTTCTAACACTTCTTTCAGCACAAAGTTTACATTTTTAAAACTATGTAAGAAACATACACGTTATCATTCAATGTAATTAAAAAGTTATGTACGGTTATTATTAATAGTCCAAATGCCGCACGTAAATTCTAAGCATTTTTTTATATTGCTTAGTGCCTGAATGAAGTCCAGTGACTGTATTATGATAAAAAATGAAGAATTCTAAGATAAGTATTGAAATATTACACCTAGTGCTTTCAGTAGTGTTAAAGTTATCCCATAATGCTTCCACCTTATGAGCCCCAAATGACATCTTTTCACCGTATCATTCCTCTGGTTTCCCATTATACCTGAAGTGATTTCTATCCAAGATTTTATTTCATTTCTTACATGTTTGCTTGTTTGTTATAAATCAAACACTTTTTTGAAAAATTTGTTAACATCTGTGTGGTTGTTATGAACTGCATTGTGTCCCCCTAAAATTCATATTTTGAAGTCCCAGCCTCCAGTACCTCAGAATATGACTGTATTCAAGACAGAACCTTTAAAGAGGTCATTGAGGTAAAAAGAGGTCGTGTGAGTGGGCTCAGTGTGACTGGTGTCCTTAAAAGAAGAGGAATTAGCATAGAGGGAAGACCATGTGAAGACAGAGAAAGAAGATGGCCACCTCCAAGCCAAGGAGAGCAGCCCTTAGAAGAAATCAACTCTGCCGACACCTTGATCTTGGACATCTGGCTTCCAGAACTGTGAGGAGATAAAGTTCTATTGTGGAAGCCACACAGTCTGTGGTACTTTTTATGGCAGCCAGAGCAGACTAATGTAGTGGGGTAGCAAAAGTAAAAGATGGAGGTACTAAAAAAAGGCTTATTAGTTTGGAGAAAGTAAGACCCACCAATTTCATATTTTTGCTTAGCATCTCAGTCATGTGGTTTGAAATGACTGCCCCTCCTGAGTTTCCTTCACGTCCTCATTGCTTCTGATATAGGATTGCATGCATAGGCAGTCAGATTCTCTAGCAAGATGCAAAATGCAATAATGTCTGATGAGAATCATTTTGTCAGCCGGAAGTGATCTCGCACATTAGCCTTCTTCAAAAGGTCGTGCATCATTGCATAGCAAATCTCATTGCTAGGGCAAACTCAGAAGTTTCCTTAATTTTTTCTCCAGTATGGTTATGACATCGCCAACTTTTAAAAATAAATACATAAATATTCCCCAAAGCATATTATACTCTAAATTATTACACTACATGAATATTCTAATACAATTCCTAGGGATAAGACAAAGGTAAAGCTGAAGTGGCAAAAAGAGGAAAAGGAGTTCAACACTTCTGCCCAATATGGACAACAAGGAGAGTATGCAACTACGAGACACCAAAAGAGGAATGGGAACTGCAGATTCAAATGGCCAAATTGCCACAGCATAATTATTAGCTATATATCTCTGAAGTAGGCATTTAATAATGAATAGGCTTGAATATAATTTGCCTATATTATCCATATTTCTACCCATTTTCCCATGTGTGATTTTTTACCTCCAATCTTGCAATTATAAATAAGTTCATAAATATTTCATAAATACAACTAGATACTGATCACATCTTCAGGATGGATCCAGAAGCAACTTCTATTTTTTCCTATATGTAGTTTCAATATTTCAGTAATCACTTGTATAGTTATAATATTAAGAAAATATATTACTTTGTAGTAAGTTATCTATTTTAAGTTCTAGATAGTGTACAATTCACTTGAAATTAATCTATATGAGTGTAGTTTACCTGTATGCTTACAAAATCTAACACATCTTAGAAATCTGCATCAAATTAAAAGGTGAAAGATCTTTACAGAGAAGATTTATGGGATCATTTATATTAGAGCTATTGTAGATGTCAGCATAAAGGAGCAACTCTGAGCTCTCGTATAATAATGTTCACAAAGTTTGTCTATGTTAATAAAATAAATAAATAATCTGCCTGACTTTGCATTTGTGTTCTTTTTAGGAGTCAGTCATTGGTTTGAATTTCCTGCAGTCTATGATTTTTTATTTGTTCAGTAATGTATAATAAATATTTTTTAGACATGCCTTAAATCCATCCTGCATTATTTGATATATTTTTTATTTTCCTTGCTCATCAAAGAATCACTGGATGGTAAGAAACTCTGAGAAGCTATATAATGAATTTCTCCTCCCATGTATAAATCAATGGCACTTTTTTCCCTAAAAAAGTTTCATAGAAACACAACTTAAAATTTTATCTATGACTGAAGACTTCAATGATCTGGTAACTTGTTAAAACCAACCTTCCACACACCAGCACATAATTAAAACAAAACCAGTATTTATTTTAATGTGGAGTTTCAGCCCAGAGGCCTCTCTTTATAAAGAGGAATTTTTAAAAATTTCCTTTTTCAAAATTTTATTTTTTTGGAAAAAAAGTAACATTTTAATGAATATCTTTAATATGAACTAATGTGAAGATCAAACATTGCTTTTAAAATTCGGAACTTACATATTGAATTTGATATCTCATTTATTTCAATTTTCTCAAAGGGTAGGAAAAACAAATATTTTTTGGCATACAGTTTAAAAAAGAAAAAAAAAATCTTTGAATTATAAGAAGATGGAGTTCAGAAAGTATTCTTCTTTTTTCCTCAAAAGGAATTAGAAGTCAGCATGTTGCTATTGCTCCTTGACATAAAGCCAGTGTCTTTGTTTATGTCCTCTGTGTCTCTGAATCCTGCCATGCCATCACAGCAGAGTGTACTGTACACCATTTTTAAATGATAAGAGTTTCAATAGGCACTTTAGTGGAATTAAGAAAAATCTAACACTCTTCCACCGTGATGCCACATAGCTATCTTCGTTCTACGTTGTCATGTCAGTAAATTGTACTTAGTCGGCCTGAGCAGGTCTCAGTGTATTTCCAAAATAACAAAACAAAACCAAGCAAGTACGTATTATAGGATTTATCTTGTGTTGGCAGAAAAAACCAAACTGACAATATGATAAATATAGCAACTTGCTAGAAACCAGATAATCAAAGGAATCTTGTTCATAAAGCCTGGGGGGGGGGGGTGCGGGGAGGGCGGTGCACGTGTGTATGTGTGTGTATATGTGATTTCCATTTGTGTTTCTTTTAAATGTCTCTTCTTGGTTGTGTTTTAGCCTTCGCTTCTCCCCTAAGTGCCTTTATCAGAGTTATAACTCTCTTCTTCACCAAACATGTCTGCCAAGACTTTAAAGCGGGGTCCCCAGTCCGTCAGATAGTCATAGTCCTGGTCAGCTTCCGTGGTGACAGAGTCTATGGAGCTAAGAGACTCTGCTACGGATCCATTGCCTTCATAGGCGTATGTTGCCAATGAATCGTATGGTGGGGCTGTTGGGTCCACATCATTTTCCTGTAGCCTTTGATTAATGAAATCTCTTATGTCTGTGTGATCTTCCACGGGTTGTCTCTGACGAGGTAAACAGAGAGAGTCTGGTTTTATATCCCTGCGAATTTTGTTATCTTCAATCACTTTTGGATTTCTCAGAGCACCGATGTCGAAAGCCTGGGTGTCCTCCTCACCCCCTCCTTCGTCATCATAGTGGATAACGTTGTCTCTGATGTCCTCTTTAGAGGTCATCAGGGTATCTTTCTTCTTTTGCCTTCGCAGAGCTACATACAGCACAACTATGGCTAGAACAAGAGAGAAATGGCAATTTGAGAATATGTCAGTTCATCCCTGTAAAAACTAAAATTGATTGGGGCTGGCTGAGTTTCTTTAATGACATCCTATTATTTTCAAAGTTAATATACTGTAATCAATAAGGGTCATATCTATGTTTATATTTTTTTCATCGTCTAAACTTAACTTCTTTTTGAAATCACACCTAACAAGAAACCATAGCAAAGTTATTGACAAACTCAAACAATTATAGTCTTATATTTAACATGCATTATATTTAAATATTTTGGCATCAGGGAAAAAAGTTTGTGTTATAAAATTTAAAAAAGATGAAAGAATGGTTGTTTTAAGCATACCAAGAGCTGTGTAACATTGACATAACAAAATACGAATATTATAGCCCGTAAATAACATTTAGGTGTTATTCACACCTAGATTTCCCAGTTGTAACATTAATGTGCTTCTATTGAAATATATACAAATCTTCATGTGACATTCACTTTTAAAAGCATTAAATAAGAAAAAAAGAAAGAAAAAGAGAAGGAAGAATATAGAATAGAAGGGCCTTAGTTTTACAAATGATGTCAACTAAGGTCTCTATTTAAATTCTGTGTCCAGCCATATTGAGACATTTTCCAAACCAAATGCCTAGTATTCAGGTTAGCTTCATGAAGCATGATAAAATTTTGAAACAGTTAATTTATATACTCTAATTATTGAAATATTTCTTTGTTTTTGGTTGACTCATAACCATCATTAAATCAATAGTGTTTATTTCTCCTAGGAGTGAATGGGCACAGATTCAAACCAGGAAGTCAGTGCTCAACTTTGCTTGTCATAAGACCCCTTCTCCTCCATAGCAGCAGCAATCGGTTGAAAGCCAAAGTGTGCTTGATTTCCCACAGCAAAGTCTGCAAGACTCTTGTCATAGGATTAGAAAATAGAGGAGATGGCATGAGGATGAAAGCTCATTTATTTCCTCTTCCTTCAGAATTAGAATTTCGCCAGCTGGAAGAAGGGAGGAGATAAAGGTAGAGATTCTGTACAATGGGCCCTAGAGTGCTGTTTAGCACTCTGCGCTCCTCCCAGGGTTTAGGGAAGTCCTAGAATTAGACTGTTGTTTTTTCATGTGGAGAGTATGTGAGAGACTGCAAGCCTCAGAGAGAGCTCTGCATATAAATGGCTTTAGAGTTGCCATGGCTGAGAAAGGAACTAGTTAGATGTGCCTGAGGACTACCTAGAAGATACCCAAGCATCACAAGATTCTTGTGTTTCCCTGTACCCCAGGAAGGATATAAAAATGGCCAAGAATAAGCTGGAAAATCTAAAATAGTCTGAGATCGGTTAAGGAGGTCAAGGAATAGATGGATTTTTAAGCAGATCCCATGGTAGGACTAAGAGTGTCAGCATTCACTGTTGTATATTAGCAGATTCACAATGCTAGAACAGTGCAGGTGCACTGTGGACACTTGGCAAGTCTTCAGATGAATGAGCGGCAGCTGGCAGTGCATGATAATGTTGACCTGAGCCAGATTAATTGCTACACTGCAGGAGGGGCAAGAGGCCAAAGGCGAGCATCCAGAACATGCCAAGTCATGCTGGGTTGGTATGGAAATAATCTGGGACTCAGGTAGCTCCTAGAGAAGAGAGGAGCATGAGAGAGCAACACTTGATTTGAAGTTAAATATTTAATTGATAATGTTCAGTTTCAGATGTGAGAATGTTATTTTGAATCTGCCCTTTTTCTTTCTTTGTTTTTGCTGAGGAATATTTGCCCTCAGCTAACATCTGCTGCCTATCTTCCTCTTTTTTTGCTTCAGGAAGATTAGCCCTGAGCTAATATTTTTGCCAGTCTTCCTCTATTTTGTATGTGGGTCGCTGCTGCAACATGGTTGATGAATGGTATAGGGCCGAGCCCAGGATCTGAACCTGCAAACCCAGGCCACCAAAGTGGAGTGCACCAAACTTAACCACTAGGCCACAGGGCCAGCCCATGAATCTGTCCTTTTAAGGTTTATATAATCAGCACAAACAGATATCAGATATAATTTACTATAAATTCTAAGGATATAAAGAATGCTTTGTTCTACACACCAAAGTTACTTGTGTCTAATTAATATCTACACCCTGAAAATTGGACTAGAACTTTACCCTCCAAGCCAACCTGAGCTTCTGACCCAGAGAAGGTTCTTTATGAAGTTCTATATAATGCCTTATTCCATGCTTTACACCCTAGGAATTTTTTAAAATTTTGCTTTCTATCCTAGAGATAAAGGTAGTTATCTTCATTTGGCAAAATATTTTGGTTAAATAATAAACATACATACATAAACTGATTCCATAGTGCCCAGCTATATATCCATTGCAGTGTAAATTTAAAGAGATGACTCGACAAATAGAGAATGTCTCTTTACTTTTGTGTTTCTGGTAGCGAATTAATAAGTGAAAGGGAGTCAGCTGAACAGAGTTGATGGAAGAGGGAACCCCCGTAGCAGGTTTATATTCATTCTCACAGAGATGATACAGAATGCATTTACTGCAATCCTTTCCCTTTTCTGTGCTTTTAGATATTTTAGTGTGTTCTGTTCTAGAAGGAATGGTTAGAATTTTAGTGTGAGGAGATGTGAGAAGAGTGGAATAAGAATTGCTTCTAGCTGGCATTTTAAACAGAAAAAAACAAATCTGGAGGCCCTTTACTTTCTCTCTGTTTCTTTCCTGTCCTTTCTCTTTTCTTTCTTTCTTTCTTTATTGAACTGGTTTTTGAGAACTATCATTCATCTAGTATATTATTAAAAGGTTATATAATGTCTGCAATAACCAGTAGGATGTAAAATGAATTGAGAAACCATTGCTGTAAATTGGATGTTTGTTATAAAAAATTTCATTGCAGCAAGTGCCACAAACTGCTATTACTTGAAAATTCCCTAGGGCTGGAACATACTTTTCTATTTTCGATGAGGTTATTTATGTATTTCTAATTATAAATATCCATGAGGTATGAAATGGAAAATTAACTTTAATAAAAATATAATTTAATATAGATAGACAATCTTCCTTCTATCTAGATGTGGCATCTTGATAAAGAAAAACTGATTTACATGGTAAACTGAGGAGAGAGATACACAGACAAAGGGGAGAGAGAGAATGTGATCAATACTACAACCCACCTAAGAGTATAACGACGCACAGTAGGATTGCAATCAAAGCTCCAGTGCTGAGTCCTACAGGTAGAAAAATTGCTTCTACATTACAAGACAGGATGGTACCATCAGAGTCACATCGACAAACTCGAATAGTCATTGTGTTTGTGCTGCTCTGGACAGGATAACTGCTGTCTTCTATTACAACAGGGAGGAAATACAGTTCTTGCTGCCTGCGGCTGTATCCATTTCTTCGGGTTTCAATTCCAGCTGTGTTGTCTACAAAACATGACGTTTATGATAAGATGGTTGCTACGAGCCGCACTTCACATCTTAAACTTGGTATCTGTTAAACAGTAGGAAGCGCTTCTCAAATCAGTAAAATGCATCCATATTTTAATTCTTTTATTATTATGAAAGCTGCCAAAATGTAATGAAATGTAATCAAAATAATCCTTAGAGAAAGAAGAACCACTCATCTTGCCTGGTGTAAGAATTAAATTTTCTATTCAGAAAGAATATAAAATGGTTTACAAGACAAGAAGTGTGCTGTGTTCACCCATTTTTTTCTAAGATCAAAATCTCATTGGAAAAAAAAACTTCTGTGGATGTTTTCTTACATGACAGACAAGCAAAGATTACAAAAAATGAATCTGTAAAATATCTTACCTAAGAACTTGTTCTTTAAAATATCACAAATATCAATTTACTATTTCAGATGAAAACTTGATTTTTAATTTTTTCCCAAGTCTATATCAACGTTACCTATGCACTTTAACTTTTGCACATCAGTTAGCGTAAGAAAATGCAAAGAAAAAGTGTGTTAAAAATCGATTCATTAAAAATTTTAAACATTATGAATTATAATCATCACCACTTTCATATAGTTATAAAAGTAATTCATTTTAATTCTGTAAAAACCAACAACAGCAATAGTTATTTGGAATAATCCAAGGCAATAAAAATCTAAAATTTATATAAGTGCAATTAGTAGTTCACTGAAAGTGTTATACTGCATTTATTTGTTCTTTAATTATTTTATTTCTATACATAGAGGTGGAAATTTTGTTTTATTCATAACACTACTTTATTTTTTTGCATCGAATAAAGTAAGCCCTAGAAACATTTTGCAATTTTTAGAAATGTATTGATATTTAGTTTATTATAGTCATACATGGTACCCACTTTGGAATCAGGTAAAATAATTTTAGAAAAATATATTACTCATTAAAATACAAGTATGTCAGAAAAAGTTACTATCTCAATAATATTCCATGCATCTATGCATTTGTAGATTCTAATTTCAACAACTGAAAATTCTCTATCCCCCTTTCAATAGGAAGCATCAAGTTGAGAAAATTTTACATGATAAGATAGACTTTGGCACAGGAAGATTAATTTATTATTATATGGAGGGTATTTTTAAATTGAGAAACAAAATATTAAGATGCTAAATGTCTATTAAATATTTCCAATGAGAGTTAGTGATGCCAGGCACTTGTGGTGACGGTGGGAATGGAAAAATGGGGACCAGTTGAATTAACATCAACATTTTTAGCAATTGATGATTGAATACTTGAGTCTTGGAAAAAGGATTAAAATTTAAAATCTGGGTGCAAATGATTAATAGAATTAGAAATTTGGAAAAGCTGGTGTATTTGTACTTGGGGAGTGAGGGTTTGATATTCTTGAACACAAGTTGTGTCAAAAGGCAGCCTACCCTTTTTTAATGTTTATTTTCAACCCATTATTATTATTGATATATGACCATGTACAATTTATTGTGCTGTCCCTCATGGGAAAAATATATATATTAAACCTCATTTTCACCCTGAAAATGGTTTCTATTGATGAACGGATACACACAGACACATACAGACACACACAGAGACACACACACACACACAGGAATATTAATCAGCCATGAGAAAGAAGAAAATCCTGCGTTTTGTGCTAACATGGATGAACCCGGAGGGTGTTACGCTAAGTGAAATAAGCCAAAGAAAGACAGACAAATACTGCACAGTATCGCTTATATGTAGAATCTAAAAAAAAGTGAAACTCATAGAAAGAGAGAGTAGAAAAGTGGTCACTAGGGCCTGGGGATGGGGAAATAGGGAGGTTGGTAATGGGTACAGACCCTCAGTTATAGATGAGTAAGGTCTGAGGTTCTAACATATAACATGGTGACTATAGTTGATAACACTGTATTGTATAAGTGAAATTTAAGAGAGTAGAACTTATATGTTTTCACTAAAAAAAGGGTAAATATGCAAGGGTTAAAAGATGCTTCTATCCACTTAAAAAACTTATGGTTACAATTAAAATATACCAAGATAAAACAGGGAATATGGTAAATGGCATATGAGAGGCAAATACATGTTCAGACTATGAGAAAACACTATGCTTTGGGGCAAGATGATCTGATTCATGTTATCATGATTAACCAGATATAGATTCTCCAGTAAAGACACGTGGTGGGAAATAGCCAATACTTAGGTTCCTGCATGATGTGACCATCTACCTCGTTTCCCAAGTTAATGATCTCAAGGTCTGAGTCTTCCTCTTCTCCATCATATTTACATATGGAATCCAGAGGATCTAGCCTCAAGCCCAGTTAATTCTATCTCTATCGATTGATCTCCATTGTTGGCCATTACCCTAATCTAAGACTCTGTCACCCAATTTCCACAATAGCATCAATAGTCTTATATTCCTCCACGGACTTTTCCACACTGGAACCAAACTGATCTCCCTAAAATGCAAATCTGAACAAAGTATATTCTCTTGCATAAACCTTTCAAAGACTTCTCCAGTCATTGGATTTAAGTTATGCTCTCTTTAAATGGCTTAAAGAGAGGGTGACCATATGGTTCAGTTTGTCTTGGACAGCCCTATTTCATGTGTGCTGTTCCAATTAAAATTACTAATATTGTCCACTTCTGTCTTCAAAAGTGTTCTAGTTTTTATGATAAAATATAGTCTCTCTACTTATAAGGCCCTTCATATATGGGACCCTGTTTCATTTACAGCCATTCCTCACAATCCTCACATACAAAGCCTGTGTTCTTAATCTGTCTGTATCTAGGTTTATTCAAATAAGACAGGTACTAGGAAGTTACCTATTCGTATGTACACATAATGTGCATGTGGAACAATTGATATATTTAAAACATGAAAAGCATTCAATTTCCCAGATAGCCTATTGTTTGCTTGACTCATTAAGGAACTGTCCACATTATAAACGGAAGTAATTTGCCTCGTTAGATACAGTCTATACAGGTTAAACATTTCACTTACTGCTAGCTATAGAATTTTGTATTTCACATATATGGATTTCCATATTTTATGAACTTCAGTGCTTTCAGGATAGCATTGATGTCCACCTTTGTGTCTTTTTACAAAGTTACACGATAAGAGGTAAATTTTCATGTGGTTAAACTTACTTCTGAAGTCACGGACTGTAAAATTTGGTTTGATGGCAGCTTCGGGCGATAATCTAAAGGAGAATTGCTGCCCAGTGGGTGAAAGATCTCGGTCTGCGGCGCTGACTATCTGAATTATCTGAAACAAAGTCGAGATGAAACTTGAAGTCAGCCATCAGTTTCATAGGGAACATTGTAGACCAAGCTAATAAGTTTATTTAACGAAGCATGCAAGAAGACAGAAATGATGTTTTTAGGATTCATATCAGTGGGCCAATTATTTACACATAATTTTTATAAACAAATATATAAACAGTTACACTTAATAATGGCAAGTATGTTTATAGGGTATGGATTGATTCCAAGTCAATATTTGCATAACTAAAAGACTTAACAGCATTGAAAATTCTCACTAATAAGCAAAATTAAAATATACTTGCTTGCATTTTACATTAGATGAAATAAATGCTTTCTAACCTAAATATGAAAATGCTTACTGGAAACAAAATCTCTGATTATTTAAAAGCCTTTATAATAGCAAAATTTTAGTATACCTATGTTTGTGAGAATGAATTTTATTTTCACAAATAAATAAAATGATGAAAAAGAGAGATACAAAGGATGTATATCTGTCTCTGTTGTTATTTTTTTTTCTCCCAATGGGTAAGAATACAAAGCTTGTTTTTATAAAGTTTTCTAAAGAAGTAAATGCTATCAACCCTGTTTCAAAATTTTCCCTAATTTGCTCCAGGTTGTGTATCTAGTAGACAAAATTCTGATACTTCACTAAGATTTCCTTAAGAATTTGGAAATTAAAAATAACTTCTGAGAGCCAAACTATGAAACTGATCATTCACTATGTAGATAAGCAAATCAGAACGGCTTTGAGGCGTTTGCTTATTAACATATCCGATGGTTTTGCATCAGGAAGGATTTCAGGAAAGGAGTGTGGAAGAAGGTGAGCTCAGTGTGCTGGTCAGGTGACCACTCTCTTAGACTAAATTTGAATTTGCCAAAGAAAGATCTTACATTTCATTACTATACCCTGGTCCCAGTGGGCAAAACAGGCATCATGTGACCTTTGATTGATGTAACTAAACGTTTGATTAATTTACTACTACTTGTTTTGATTCCATGGTTAAAACTCAATCTATGACTATGATTTTCCCATATGGCTGTGTTTATGAGTACACACACACGCTCTCACATACAAACATACTGGGACTTCGAGTCTCTGGTGCAGTATTAGAAATCTGTAACTTGACAAATTGGTCTTCTAATGAGAATTGCTGTTCCCTGCTTCAGTGCAAATCAGTCACATAGGATCTATTTACCCTTTAGAATTGTCATGGATGAGACTTTTGTTATTCAACATCAAAGGCCAGATCATGGAATGTGGCAATTTAGTCAAAGAATGACCATATAGGCCCTGTAAAACTTTACCTTTCTTTCACATAAACCTGTATGCTCAGATCACTATATCTCATCCATAAAATTTCTGTAAATTTTCGGAAGGGTTGCTTTGTCAAGTTTTGTTTTGATTTGCCTTTAACTACTATCAACTAGCAAGTCATTTACTAAATTAAAGGTATTTAACATCAAAACATATCAAGAATATAACTTTAGAATGAAGAAACATCCTTTAAAACAGCATACAGAAATGAAAATTTCTGTGTAAACTGGCACTTATCTGGAATTGACACTTGGAAGTCATTGCCCTAAGGAAAACAATTCCCATACTTCACTGATTCACCATATAAATCATTATTAATTTACATAGCATCATCTTTCTCTCTTTCCTCTTTCTTCTTTAGATAGATACATGATAAGTAGGTAGATAGATAGGTAGGCAGATAGATAACACTTATATACATATATGTTCAATTATAGTCCAAAAGAGATAAATAGATTATATGCATGTTCTTAGACAAGGCACAGAATGGCTGGGGACAAAGGCAGAAAATCCTCATATACTACACTCCCTGAAAACTCAAGAGACATTTCAATGTTATGCTTTGTACATAGATGTCGTCCAGTAGGACACCAAAAGCCCAACAGATATTTATTAGACAAAGAATCTCCAAGGTCCCCACAGATTCCTCACCTCATTGTCCAGATATAACAAAATCAAGTTATCTCTAGTAACTTCTACTATTCCTAAAGGTTTAAACTTTAATCTACTAGACAAATATAGAAGCATTAAATGGAGTTCTGTTTCCAAAAGGCTTTCATTTAGTGCATTACAAGATTGTAATTGATATGAAATAATGTCCCTAAAACCCAAAAAATAAAAGATTGGCTTTTGGGGGTGTTGTGGACGGATCTGGAAAGTGGACAATAGCTAGGTTGTGGAATTTTGGTAAAACTCTTATAATTTTCCAAATAACCAAATCAGGTTGCTTATTTGTGTAAACATTTATGCAGCATCTACTATTTCAGACACTAAAGGAGGCACTGGGTTCATCGCATATAAATTGTTGTTACATTTAAGGTGGTAAAACACTAAAACTTTGTTTAAATGCATTCCTGTGTCTATTCAAAATTAAGAATGAAAATTTATCACTTTGGAAAATATGACTAAATAAGTCATATTCTAATAAAATTAATACTTTCTCCAAATTATCAAAATAGCTATCAAAATGCCACATACAGCTATTGAGCCCTTAAATGGAGCTAGTGTGAATGAGAACACTGATTTATTGATTTTTAATTTAATTTTAATTTAATAGCTATGTGGCTAGTGGACATCACAAGATTAGAACTATGGGATGAATGTTCCACAGAGTAGTAGAAAACGTTTGAATTGAAACAAATACTAAAGATCAAAGAATGACCTTTCCAAATAAAGATACCATTTCAAATATTAAGATTTTTTCAAATAAGAATTAAAACTTCAAATTTCCTTAAATGAGTAGATATGCTATTTAAAGGTGATTGAAATGTACAGCAAACCAAAGCATACTGACATATTTTTCCTTTGGAAACTAGATGCAGAATATTGGATTAGTCATATTTTTATTTCATGACACACTCTCATCATTTACTCATGCCTGATTCCTACTATATTATATTATATTATATTATATTATATTATTCATTCATTTATAACAGCGTAGAAAAAAACTGGCTACCCACCACTGCCCACATAATATCTATGATTTTGACAGTAACTTTCCTTAACTATGTGGTCTCCCATCATGACATCTCCCCACTAGAACCTCCCCTTAGCAATGCTAACTAAACAAGGAAAATGTAATCCAGATATTTTGAATAACCTGGATGTTCTTTCAGGGCCACCATAGAAAAAAGCTTTATATTTTTCATTGGCTTAAAAGTTTTTCTGTACCCCTTCATAAAAGCATGTGTACAAAGCAAGAAATACTCTAGAAGAATGCTCTCTAAAATTGTTTGCTGAGTGGGTTTATAGTCACAAGTTCATTAGAAATTCCACAGTAAAGAGTGGAAAACAGCAGAATCTGCAATTTTAGACTTTTTAGTTACACAAGGAATATTCTCTAGGCCATCATCACTTTATCTCCTATGGTATTACTTCTATATCCATCTATGTACTATTAATTTACAAGAGTTTATTAACTCTTATAGTTCTTTTATGAAGACATATAATCCAGAAAAATAATATATATATTTTAGTATATTATATATTATATATATATGGTCTCATAACCGAAAACACATGCAGATAGTGGGTCTTTTCCCACTCTTAATTAACAATATTGATAAGATACCTGTCCTGGTTTGGCATTTTCACACACAGCTGTCTCATATGGCACAGATATTTCTGGAGGAAATTCATTGACGTCTAGCACATTAATCAATATGTTGACTTTGCTAGTTAATAATGGATTACCTGTTGAAAACATAAAAAGAGAAAAGACAATTACAAAACCTGATCAGTTATTGCTTTTATATTAAAAAGTCTTAAAACTTTTTAAAAATCAGCTTTTATGTAGAATCCAAACGATCCTTTCTTTGCGGCAAACTCAGAGGTGTTGCGTCAAATATAAACGACAAAGGATGAATAAGTGTGGCATCAGTGTTTCCCTGTCAGAACACAAGCGGGGCACTAGCCCAGCATTTATCTCTGAAAATCGTCAGCAAAGTTAAGGTCAACCATTTAGCTGGCATTTTATCACTGTGTAGCCATCATACCAGGGTTAGTTTACAGAAACAATCTTCACCAAGGGTGACATTTTTCACTGGATAAAACATGTTTTTCTATGTTGTGTCCATATCTAAAATTTTATTGGGGAGAATCATCTGCACATTTAAACAACTTTCTCAAAATGATTCCTCCTAAAAAGAAAGATGATAAATTACAAGGAGAATGAAAGAGAGAGGGCTTTTCATAAATGGAAATTAAAAAAACAGATTTAAGAAAGTAGAAGAGATAGGTTATGGAAAGCTAGAATACACCCTGAAATTACTTGATGGTGATAAGAAAGGAAAAATAAACAAGGCTTGCTTTCTACAGTATCAAAAGGAATGCTGATTTGAAAAAAAAACGTATCTGACAAAATCCTATCATAAGTTTTAGCCTCAGCTATCCAAAATTGTTGAAGGAATCTTGCTCAGAGTCACACAACTAGAGGAATGGGGAGTTAAGTTTCACACCCAGGACTATGGAAAGCCAAATACCATGTTCATTCCACCACGTCTTCTCTATTAGTTGGTTTATGCATTAAACTCCTCATGCCTGCAGTGCCACTGAAGGTTGTTAATATTTGTATTTTAGATCTCTATCTGGATTCTTTGAAAGAATGCATACAAAATCTTACCCCATGAATGATTCTACCAAGTCTAGAATACCCTGTTGTACTAAAATTTATTAAAAAATAAACAGCACTGTAAGCAGTCGCTTAAGAGATGTCACATAATCACATATGACACATTGTGTACCAGGACAGACATTGACACATGGTATATTTTTTAATATGGGAGGGGTTTATAGAAGGTGTGTGAGTAATCTTGGAGAAGTATGCAGAAAACACCTGCTATGAAAAATTAATACTGGTCACAAGGCATTATGTTATTTGATAGAAAAGGAGTTTTCACAAGTTATTTAACCTTTCTCCAACTCAGTTTTTTCATATGAAACACACGATATTAACAGACTCTAATCCATAGGTTTGTTGTATTAAATGAAATGATGGTTACAAAATGTTAGGTCACTTTTAGTAAATTATCATTACTCTTATTACCACTTGCACTTTGTGGAGATTATCTAGCTTGCTTCTGTTATTGGTATTAATTACTCATACAGCATAAAATGTAGATAAAATACAACAATTTGGTTAAACTAGGTTCACTTTTCTAAACAAACTGGAAATTATCAAAAATAACAACAAAAATTAATGCCTAATATTTTATAATGCTTACAATGTATCTATATTCTAAGATGCATTATGTAGATTAACTCATTTAGGGTTCACAGCAACTCTGATATAGACACTATTGTTATTCCCAACAATAGACAATTAATTCATATTAGACAGAGAAGCTTAGTAAACGCACGTGAATAACTTAACCTATTAAACTTCTGTACAACATAAAAATCAGTTTCTGCTTTCTATTTTACTTAGCACATAAGGTACAAGTCCCAATGCCATATGAAAAGAATTTTGTTTTTATTTCTCCAGAATTTCAGTTTTATCTTATTAAATTAGTGTGAGGATGGGATGTCTTCCAAAGGAGATGAGACTTCTCCCACAATTATATTCACAATACAGATTTACCTTCATAATGTATAAATACATTATTAAAATTAATTTAAGCCAATTTTTTACATGTAAGAAATTCCCTTATGGTAGTTTTAAATTACTTATCCTCCTGCAACATCTATTTCAACAACTGTTCCAATGAGTAATAGGTCACAAAAACTAACCACTATTGCAACATCTTATTATTAAAAGTGTTTCTCAAAGGTATGCTTCGGTATTTTAGCTAAGAAAAATATTTGTTGTGTGAGATTTTCCCGTGCACCATAGGATTTGCAGAATTACTGAAAATTAAATGCTATTAGTCATCATTTTGGCAATTATAAAATAAATTCCCAAACAAAGATAGAGGAAAAACTATAACAATATCAGAAACAGCATGTTCTTGTTGTCAAAAATGAGTGATAAGCTTATGGGTTTCGTTATATTGTTCTCTCTTCTATTGTATATGTGTAAAACTTTTCATAATTAAAGGTTTAAGAATGTCACCTTGTGTTTTTAAATGCCAGCTAGGGAAATAGTAACATCTCTGTTCAAGAGCTACGGTACTCAAGTAAGCACTGAACTTTTCACAAAAGAATAAAATTCATTAGAGTAATACAGAGTTTTTTTCATTTATGTATATAATTCACTAAATTATGTGAAAAAGTAATGATCTATTTCTTTTCTGATTTATCTAATCTTTATTTGGGACAGCAATAGTGAAATTTGTTTAACCTTGATTCAGCATAAGCGTTATTATACACCTTTTGCCATGTAGTTATCACTGACTACTTAGAAAGCAAATTCATATATGAACTTAGTAAGTATTAAATAACAAAAATCTTACACAATTAATTGCTGTTTGTAGTATTCAAACCATTTAAACTCCAGTTTTCATTGATCCATGTTGCTTATATTTAATAACCAGCTTATTAAGGGCTCATATAAGATAATAAAGAAGTAATTCTATTTTTATCCCTCATGCCTTCAAAAATGTTTGTTAGATCTTCTTTTCCTATCCCTTGTTAATATCTGAGGTAGCTCCCTAGCTTTCTGAGTCAATTTGAGTTAGAACTGCCTTATTATTAGCATTTTAAAGTATAGGTTGAACTAAGAAATATAAGGTAAATCCCAAATTATGAAAATCAGGAATGAAGGAGAAATCATCACTCTTTATCAAAATGAATTAAAATATTATGAGATAATATTGTAAATTACTTTATGCCAAAAATGTAGTCCACATAGATGAGCTGGACAAATTCCTAGAAAGACACAAATTACCAAAGACGATCTCAAAAAGAAATAGAAAGTCTTAATAGACCCAAAACAAGTGAAGAAAATGAAACTGTAATTAAAAATCTCCCCACCAAGAAAAATTCATACCCACGTGGTTTCACTGGGGAGTTCTATCAAGTAAAGACCACATCATATCAAGTCTTCACAAAGTCTTTCAGAAAATAGAGGAGGAAATATTTACCAACTCATTCTACTTATCCTGATAACAAAGCCAATCAAAAACATCACAGGAAAACAAAAGCAAGAACTAATATTGCTCAGGAACACAGACGCAAAAATTCTTTAACACAATATTAGTAAATCAATTTCAGAAGTATATTACAAAGCTAACACACAATGACCAAATGACATTTATTCTAGAGGTGCAAGTTTAATGTCCAAGAATAATCAATGTAATGCAACATATTAATAGAAGAAAGAACAAACAAATCACACGGCTATCTCAATAGACTCAGAATTAGCAATTGACAAAATCCTACATCCATTCATGATAAAAAAAAAAAAAAGCTTCAACAAATAATGAATAGAAGGAATCGAAGGCAACATTTTCAAGCTGCCATAGTCTATATACAAGAAATCTATAGCTAACATCATACTCAGTGGTGAAAGACTCAATGTTTTCTCTTTAGTAATAGGCACAGAGCAAGAACGTACAGTCTTCTGCTCTTGCCACTTACATTCAACATCATTCTTGAGGATTTATTCAGTGCAATGAAATGAAAATAATTTTTTTAAAAAAGTATCTAGATTGGAAAGAAAGAAACTATATCTCTTCAAAAATATGACCCTGTAAGTAGGAAGTTCTAAAAAATCCACAAAGAATCAAACAGATATAATAAAGGAGTACATCAAGGCCATGGGATAAGACAGGAATATGAAAAATAGCAATTGCATACTTAATATACTAGCAAAGAACAAACTTAAAATGAAACCAAGAAAAATGATTCAATTCACAATAAAATGAAAGGTAAGAAAATGTTATGGGGGCCGGCCCCATGGCTGAATGGTTAAGTTTGCATGCTCTGCTGCGGTAGTCTAGGGTTTCACTGGTTCGGATCCTGGGCGCAGACATGGTACCGCTCATCAGGCCATGTTGAGGCGGCATCCCACATGCCACAACTAGAAGAACCCACAACTAAAAATATACAACTATGTGCTGGGGGATTTGTGGAGAAAATAAAGCAGGAGAAAAAAAAAAGAAAATATTTATGAATAAATTTAGCAAAATAAATGCAAGACTTGTAAACTGAAATTCACAAATCATTGCTCAAAGAAATAAAATAGATTGATTGCTGATGGAAAGGATTACTAGTGGAAATATAAAATTATATAGTCACTCTGGAAAATAGGTTGCAACTTTTTAAAAATAGTAAACATGATCTTATAACCCTTCAATTCCCCTTCGAAGTGTCTATCCAAGAGAATAAAATAAACGTCCACACAAAAACCTGTACATATATGTACATGGGCGTATTATTTGTATAGTCCAAAAACTGGAAACAATTCAGATGTCTACCTTTGGGTGAACACTTAAACATTATGTGGAAATATTCATACAATAAAAATTTCTTCAACAATGAAAAGGAACAAAATACTGACATGCTACAACACCATGAATGAACCTCAAATATATTATGCTTTCTTGATGAGAAAAGAAGACTGACATTGCTCCTTAATTGGAGCTTGATTAGCTGCAGAAAGAAAAGGTTTCAGTGTCTTTGGGTTTCTGAAGTCCAAGAGCCTTCAGAAGATTCTAGCCCCCAGCTGTCAAGTCTTCCAGACTTCCTGGAGCAGATATTAAGCCATTCCTTTCAAATGAACCCTTTTAGAATTCCTGACTCGGAAATTCTTTGAT